TCGAATTCCTGTTCCTGTGAACCCTTCTGCTATGGTTCATCAACGGGCTTGTCTTTCTGGTGCCACCAGCCCAAACCCTAGTCTACCCGTGAAGGCTACCACTGAGAGACAGAAGAGAAGGAAAAGAAAGTCGTTGACTAAACTTTCTGGTCAGGCTGACGACTGTCATACATGTGGTCTCACTGTGGCCAAGAGGGATGCTGCCTTTGAGTGTAACATCTGCAATAAGTGGGTACACAGTCAGTGTGACGAGGACCATCAGACCAATATTACACCTACATGGCGCGCTACCCATGCACGTGGTTCTGGCACATCTGCCCACAGTGCTGCATAAGGCTGCTCTTTCCTACAGGCTCGCTGATGGAGGTCGTAAAAGACGTCACAGTGACTGCTGTGATGCCGGTACCCACACAGACCACTACCCCAGGCCCAAGCGGCAACAGTGTCAGCACTGTACCCCGGCCAGTCACACCAGTGAATAGTCCAAAAAGACCAAAACGACGACCGGGCACGCGACCAATTACATTAGTCCCCAACCCCGAAGCAACTATAGAGGCTTACCCCATTGTGCAACGGGAAAAATGGGTAGTAGTGGAAAAGAAGGTGCACCCTTCCCACAAAAAACCACCCACAGCACACAAAAGCAGAGAGGCTGATGACAGATCGAACCCCATCATCTTATTTAACGTCCCTGTGTCCCATGATAGTCTCCTTGAGAACAGAGAATCGTTTGGCGAGCAGCAATGGGAAACCTTATGCACCACAATAGGACTGGGTAGCCTAGAAGCAAAACTGTGCAGGCTCTGCAAAGGCGACGACCCAACTCAGGGAAAGCCTCCACCGATGAGAGTTGCCCCAAGCTCGGCCGAGGAAGCGGAAAGATTCTTGCTGATGTCGTATACACTGGTCAACAACAGGTCGTCCAGCGTTAGAGCCAGACCAGACCGCCCTTGGTCAACAAGAAAAGTGTCTCCCGAGGCCCCCCAAACGTTGAAACCAACAACTATGGTTGTCCACGGCATACCAGAACTGACAACCGACACAGTCGTAGAAAAGTATGCTCACGACGTCCAGCAATGGCAGTGGTTGTCAGCGAGGATGGGGCTAAATGGGATAGCAGCGGCGGTGGTCTGCAGACTACCACGTCCCTCACATTTGACGACGATAACAGCACCCCGGTTGATGGCTGTTAACTTCTGCCGTCATGAACTTTTAACCAGTGTACTGCAAACTTGGTACACAGTAAAAAATAACATCAGTGGGAATGTTCGCTGCTGTGAGAGCAGGCCCAGGACACTGCGACAACAGCAAACGGCAGCAGCGCCCATCGCCGAAGTCGCCATCACTGTCAACAGATAAGGTGAACAATCAAACCTGGACTCTATGAAACCCCCAGAAACCACTGTGGGAAAAACGCAATTGGGCCTGCTCCACTGGAGCTGGCCGTCCTATGGCAAGTTTCACCACTACGCACGACTTCCTCCAGTCTGCCAGCACCAAGATACCCCTTGTCGTTAGAAACATAGCTAAGTGTCTTCACAGTGATGTGGGGGGACTTAGAAGTAAAAATGAGGAATTACGATTTCTCTGTTCCTACCTTGCTCCAACGATCATAATCCTGACAGAAACTTGGTTATCACCGAATATCAGTGTCGTCGAAACTAGTATAGACGGTACGCATCTGTTCAGGAGAGACAGGGAGTTCGAGGAAGGAGGCGGAGTGGCGATGCTCATGAGTGATGACCTTAAAAGTGAACGAGCAACTGAAACCCTACTCTCAGGGCTCCCAGACTCCATCTGGCGCCAGTTTAAGGTCGGACACACCAAGTACTTAGCAGGAGGCGTCTACAGAACACCTACCAGCGGCATGGAAGATAACCGACAGCTGGTGTAAGTAATGTCCCGAGCGACGTCCATGGGATACGACCAGGTCGTTATAGCCGGCGACTTTAATGTTCCGACTCTCAGTCTTGGGCAGGATAAGGGAACCTCAAGCCGAAGGTTCGACCGAAACCTACTCAACACTATCCAAAAGGCTGGGCTGCACGAGAATATTGGTGATGACACTCGCTAGGGGTCGGGCGGAAAGCCGTCCAAACTGGACTACCTTTTTACCAGTGACCCACTGCTGGTACAAAATGCACAGGCTCAAACCCTCCTCGGCAGCTGCGATCATGGCGTGGTAGTGTTCGATCTGGTACTCAATGAACAACTGTCATGGGGGCATCGCGCCCCTGTCTTTGCTACAACAAAGCGAACTAGGTGGCGATGAACCAATATCTGTCGACAACACCATGGCCTCAAAGTGGAGCAACCTGTCGATTGACCAACATTGGGAACTAGTCAGAGATATCATCAGGAGAGCTGCCTGCGAAAACGTCTCAGTAATCACAGCAATACCACGGAAACGAACCTCGTGGTTGAAGCGAGGCACTGAACGCCTTTTGAAAGCCAAGAGCAAAGCATAGAACAAGTGGAGGACCTCCAGAAAAGTGTCTGACCACACCATGCATATTGCCCTAAGAAATCGATGTAACATTAGAGTGAGGGGGGACAAGAGGTCATTCCAGACGAACCTTGCTCAAAAGCTCGAGGCAAATCCCAAAAACCCATATCGGCTTATGGCAGGCAGAAAATCCACCAGCCAGGGGGCTTGCATCCCGAAAGGCCAGGTGGAGAGAACCTCTCCGGACCAGAGATCGCCGAAGCCTTTAGCGTCACCTTCGATACGCAACTGAATACGTCCCATCGAACCAAAATTACCAACTGCCCGACCGAAATTCAGCACCACTAAAAGCAGTAGAGTTACCTGGAATAAAGGTGATTCCTGCTATGGTCCTCGAAATACTGTCAAAGGGGAATCACCAGAGTGTGATGACATCCAACCGACTGCGCTGAAACAATGCGCGGGTGCCTTGTGCGGCCCGCTGTGTAACTTGTTTCAACATTCCTTAGACAGTCACATGCTTTCACACGAGTGGAAAAGTGCTATTCTGTCCCCCATCTTTAAAGGTGGAGACAAGCAGAACCCAAAATGCTACCGATCCATAGCCCTCCTACCAGTGGTGTCAAAAGTAATGCAGGGGCTGGTAGACGACCATCTCAGGGAGTGCTTAGAAAAGAGGGGAGCACTTAGTGGTACTAAACATGGTTTCAGAAAGGGTAGGTCCTGTGTCACAAACATTCTGGTGACAGGTGATAAGTGGACGGCATGCTGGGACCTCCAAATTCCTGTCCATGTTATTTTCCTGGATTTTACTAAGGCCTTTGACACAGTTCCACACACCGTTCTTATTCACAAAATAGAAAGGTTGGGCATCAAGGGACAAGTGCTTTCATGGTTGCAGGACTATCTAGACGGTAGACAATTCTGCACAAAAGCCAACAAAGTTTGCTTGACTTGGAGGACATCACCATCTGGTGTATCACAAGGGGCAGTTCTTGGTCCGCTGCTATTCCTTCTTTTTACGAATGACCTCCCACTGAATCTCAGCTCCCCAATTCTACTTTACGCTGATGATGTTAAGCTATGGAGAGCTGTGACGTCAGAAACAGAATCAAGTGCACTGCAAAGTGATCTCAGATTACTTGCAGAGTGGGTGGACATTAATGGACTTGCATTTAACCTAGATAAGTGCCGAACCATGTTTCTCCGCAACCCAGACTCTCAGAAGGTACCCTATTCTCTCTGTGGAACACAACTCTCCCATACCACCACAGAGAAAGACCTAGGACTAATACTAACTGACAAACTAGACACTAGCCCCAATTATCCAGGAGATGCCTCCAGAGCCTACACAGTACTGCACTTCATGCGCAGACAACTGGGTGCCCTGACCCCGGAACTCTTTTTAAAGCTGCATAAGACCTATATACGACCCCGTCTAGAGGTACGTAACGTCATTGCACCAGCACATCTCAAAAGAGACGTGAACCTCCTGGAGAAAGTCCAAAGGCGAGCTACAAAGGGTGTAGTGGGAATCAGGCAGAAACCATATCAGGACAGGCTGAAAGATCTAGGGCTCTTCTCCCTAAGCTACCGCAGATTACGTGGCGACTTGATAATGGCTTACAAAATACTAAGTGACCCAAGTCATCCGAACAGTGGAATCCTATCGAACGGCCACTATGGCGATCCTCACGGTAACCCAAGGAGGATCGCCCACCAAAGAGCGAAAACCTATGTGCGATCACACTTCTTCTCTCTGCCACTGGAACGCACTGCCTGCCGAGATTGCTACTGCTCCGTCTGTTGACAGCTTCAAGAAGAGGTTGGACAGTTACGCAGCGACGCACGGTTTGCGCTCATCCAACTGGGATGTGTACGAGGCTAACACGACTTACTAACTCGGTACAACCAACCGTTACTGAACACTTAGTAAAACCACTATCACTGAGAACTTGGCTTAGCCTTATACCTTCCTGCAGACATCCGCTCCAGTTACCGTCCTCCACTAAAAGAATTACTATATTCCCATTCGTCCTATCATGTTATTTATTCTTCTTACTTCTGACTCTACGTTCTCGAACTTTAACAAAAGCTCTCCCTATCACCTATTCCTCATGAACCTACCAATGTTTTATTCTTATGTGCCGTTTACTTTTTCCCCCTCTTTTTTATGTGTCATTCTTCCCTTTTTCTCTTTCTTTTCCTATTTTGTCTCTCTGCACTTTCTCTCCCTTGATTTCTCTGCACATGTTTTTCATCTCCTTTTTACAACCAGTCTGACCAATTGTCTGCTGGCACGACATTTGAGGAACCCACCTACACCACAGTCCTCGGAAGAAAAAGCAAACAAACAAACAACACTCCCTACAAATCTAAACAATACCCAACCGCCCGTCGGGCTAACCAGAGCTACAGCAACCGAGTGGGTGGACCTACTGCATTGGAATCCACCAAAGACCTGGAACCGTTCCGCAAGACCTAGAAGCGAGCGCGAAGAAACCAATTGGTTTACACTAGCTCGTTAAAAGATATTGGATATTGGAAGTTTGCAGTTTGAATGAACGATTTGATGCCGTATGACCTTCGGTTGTGTAGCCGTCTCATCTGAATTGCAGAGTCATCCACCAAGTGGGATCATAGTAACTATTTACGACATTCATTCTATGCTTTTTGTGCTGACCTTCGTCTGTAATTTTTTGAGCATCATTGAGGATTCTCAATAACATTTACTGAAGTGCATACAAGTATGACCCAACGGTTAGGTCAATTTTAAAGGATATTTTTGCACATTTTACATTCATTGCAAATACACCATTGAGGTGAATACGTGTATGGCAAGGATATCTAACTTTCCATACATGTTGTTTTCGGAAATCGGGAAATTTTAAGACAGTCTTTTCATGAACACTATCTTTGTACTTAAGTACAAACAATTGTTTCGTTACATAGAGACCTTTCGCTTCAGTATTTTTCAAAGCTTTTGACCAGAGAGGTCCATTTACTTGACGTTATTTGTGAGCACCTGTTGGTTCTGACCAGTTCAAGATCATTCGGTTAGTTGCTAACCTTGTCACCATTATTTATCTTACCTTGGTTGATCTCTGGAGTTTAAAGCCATTGAGAAATGCCAAGACTATGTGCGCCTAAACGTGTTCACTATTTCTTTTCCAAAGTTTTCCGAAATTTCGGGAAGTCCGGAGTGTTTTGTGCTCATAAAGTTCTTTCTGGATGGCTTCATTTAGCTAAACATTGCTTTAGGATTTTCTATTTCTGACAGCTCTACTTTTTCAAATTAGAATTCATTGACAATAAAAGTAGAACTTGCTGTGTTTACATGTCACTATCAGTGTTAAGTGAAGAGCAAATAAGCATAGCTTCTCAACCACATATTATACTTAGAAACAAAGCTTTAGGTGCATGCATTTCGACGCAGGAAATTGCATGCACTGCGTATTCATTTTTGGCATATTAAAACTTCATTTAGTATTGCATGAGGGGAGCGGTGATTGTTTGTCTTGATGTGGTGAAGACATTTATTTGGAGATATCAATGTTCATACATTTTGGCTGTTTCTGAAATTATAAATCCATTGGTAGGTTTCCAGTTGGGTCTTCTACAGTATTCAGTTTTTTGTGTGTTCAGGCTGTGCCCTAAATTCCTTCAATAGGCTGAATTTTTCCCAGTGCTCTGCTGCTAACCAGAGATTTTGGTGATTAGCAAGATCCCTATTTGGTGCGTATACTGATAACATAATCTTTCCGTGAAGTCCGATATTCTCTGTTAGTTCACATTGCTGACAATGTCCAGTCCCTAGAGCCTTCCGGTTAAAAATTAACTATCGACTTCACCAATTTCACTACCGTTTGTAAATGCACCTGAAGTAAATGTCAGTTGAGGTTTTTAAAGGTGGTATTCTGGATTCACCCAGATACGTCTTTGTGAATGAGCTGGTGAAAAATTCACAGATCACCTTCTTGCTATTTCGTGGTGAGGCAAACTAATTTTTGTTTGTTGGGATAGAGTTGCACTTCAAGGGCATTTCAACATTCGAAATTTTGGGTAAAACTTCGGGGACACTAAAATACTTTCTAGCAATAATCATTTTTTTTTTCGGGGAAGATATTGCGCGTCCCTACTTTCACTTGCTTGGTTGTTTCCGATGAAGCAGTTTCAAATTTAGAGTTTGGAGATCAGTTCCAGCTAAAGTGTAGTGATACACCATGGTAATGAAAGGGGAACTCATTGAATGGACTGCATTTACCTTATGTTCTAGAACAAAAACAGTCTTTGTGAATCACACTTGTATGACTCTGAAACTACAGTCTATTGTAATGTATCTGCAGTCGGGGTACTTTTAATAATCGTATGCTTCGACCAAGATATGCTTCGAATGCTATACCCTACTTTGTAAGGCTTCATCTGAAGTGATGGATTCAGACATGTTGTGAAAGAAAACTGACTCCCTACGGATTATCGGCCAGCAGAATAATCGTATATTTACTGGCCTTTCTTAACTTTAGTTGCCTCTGTGGAGACCCTACTCCTCTTCGAATGCGAATACTACTTGTTTGGATACCGAGTTCAAGTCGTTGAATACTTTGTGCGAGAAGTATACATTTACGTTAATCACATAAGACCATAGTTTTCGAATTTTGTTATGGTGGCCTCGTAGAAAGTCAATCGTGAAGAGGTAGAAGAGACAAGATTTTAATCTGAAAGTCCTTGTCGTTAAGGGGACCGAATGCCAATGCTGGGTCACCTTTTCTCGTTCGATAAGTCAGTGGGAATAGATTTAATCCTTGTAAATACTCCTAGGATAGACTGGAATGCCCAACTTCAAGGCTCGTACCAACTCTGAAAGCACTACAGTGCTCCAGTTTTTTTTCTGAAGCAGGTACTTACTGCTTTAATACAGTATTCTGAATTCAGTCACATTTATCTAGAATACAGTGTCCCAAACATGTGTACGTCAATGTGTTTGAAAGCCGTGCGCAGAGACCAAATTATTTGAAGCTCTTTCAAAGCAATTGCACTCCACTGCGCAGACGTCTCCGACTCTTGGCTTTCGATCACATGTGGGTATTTCTATATAAAGTACCAGTGACCTATCCATATTATAATAATAGTAAAAATCGCTTTATTACAAACATGTTTGATACTGTATGAAAGTCTCAGCACGTAATATTTTAACAAATTGGCTCCATGTACGGTATTTTTAAAAGAAATAATTACTATCTTAAAACTGTTAATAATACAGTACTAAAGGCTTAGAGGTTTAGGGAGATGACTTCCAACCATAGGGTCACGAGTCCAAGCCTCACCCCACCTACCGAGGTTTAGGCAGCCGGGTGGTATCACCAGCCCTCACACAACAGATATGGGTCATTGCCTACTGCACGAATCAGCACAAGGTAGCTGAGTACGTTTCATTCGTTCTTATTGAAGCCACTGATGTGAAACGGGCACCTGATGCCACATTAGTGTCTCTTCTGGACTCGAAAGTGAACACAAAATCAGCTAATTTTGATAGTAGTAGTTCGGTCAGCTAGTACAAAAATCTGCCATACCATATATGTATCCTAAAAGTAGTCGTGTTTTATTTTTAAACATCTATGAGTCCGTTTTATACTGATAACTTCCGTGACCACTACACTTTTCCTAGTAACATTTTGCAGGTACCAGTGTCTAGACCAATCAACTAATTCATCCAAGTTTGCTTACAACTCCCACTTAACTGTTTCATTGGGGGTAAAGTTTGAAAATTTAAAACTATCGGCACATACTAGTACTAGAGATGTAAACAATTTTTATAGTTCATTGGCATGTAGTTGGGAGAAAAGCGGACCCAAGATCATTCCCCTAGGGACCTATCTCATAAGTTTCCACTTGCTTAGTATCCCACCAATTCTCACTCTTTCACCTTTCGTACATGAAGTATGCAAGTAAATCCCATATTTTAGTCCCAAACTCGATTCACTTACGAGAATAGGGATTTCTGAAGCTTAGTGATACGACTCAAAATCGACTTCATTGGCGTAGATGTATCTACACATTATCTTCATCTCAATCGTTACACTGAATTTCATTATTATCTTACTTCTTGCTCTTTTCACGATTTTCTATCGCTTTTGATCGCTTTCTCCCATCTTATTGTAACTTTCGTGATATACTGATATGAAGTGTGGTAACTGGAACTGTTATGCATGCCGATGCCTGCAACAGTGGTTCATAGTCGGATTCAAAAGCAAAATCTCAAAATTGCCAAAAGGCTATGTGTGACTAGCTATCGCTTTCATGTAGGAGTTTTCTGTTATGATTTCCAAACTGCTATGTGCTATGGCCGCTAACGATGCACGGATATCAAGGGTCAGCACCCAGCCTTCAACAAATTCCTAGTGAATTACTGACCCGACTAATTGATGGAGAAGACACGATGAACATGTAGAAACGTTTATTGGAGTCGAAAGACCGATACCAAAACACAGGAAAATATATCTAATATATAGATAGTTCGCTGTTTAAAATGATCCTATTGATTGCCTAATCCACTGTCTGTCTGTCCAAGTATAGAAGTGGTAACCTAAAGTAGCTGCTACCTCCCGACCGATAGCTGCTACCTTGACGGTGGTCGGGCTTGCATATCACAATGACTCAAAGAGCTATGTTGGTGGAACGCTTGTTCCCCCGAGGTTCTACCGTACGAGAAAGGTCTGTTGGATAGTGGTTAGACGAAAAGCAGTTACCGTTATGGTGTAAATAGCCACACTATGATGGGAGTCTGAGGGCGAAGTCGTACTGCTGCTAGCCGAATGGGGTGTGACAGCAGTAAGGTGTTTCCCTTGGATGATCAACAGTGCCATGCTGATGCTGCCTTCTCAGCGGAAGCGAAGGGGGGTTAGAAAAGGTCGGCCCCCAAAATAACACACTCCACCATGCCCCACGGTCTGCCGCGCCGGCGGTGTTGGTTCATTTGTCGTTTCCTTTCCACCATCCGGCCCCAAAACAACAAAAAATCAAAATAATCATACTCAAAAGGCTACGTGTGGCAGGCCTCAAGCAGATGTCCGATGGGCTCTGCGGTCACGCAAATCTCTTCCAGGTACCTTAAGAAGAAATAGCCTTCCACGGTGTGGGCAGCCTGGAAGTGTCAACCGCCCTCACAACTCTGTCATCACTCAAGTTTCCTCAGACATTTTGATTGGTCCCTCTCCAGACTAGTCTTTTCTGTCTATCCTCGTATCACTTTTAATGTCCGAGCTTTACGCTTTATGGACAGCAGGTATCGCTCGCCAAAACTCTTGAATCTGTAATCATGTATACATTCTGTGTCTGTGAGACACGTATACAGGACTCGGGTGTGGTTATTAAATTGGTCTCATCTGGTCATAGTAGTGAATCTTCGAAGTTCATCCTAAGAGTATCCGAAGATCCAATGGCTCTCACGAACTCGCTGGTGTAGGCTTAGCATTGAAACATAGGGCAGAAAGTGCGCTGGATACCAGTCAATAGCCGTCTCTACGTTGGTGTTCAACTTAATGAATCTGTAAGAAATAGGAAACGTCGTGGGACTAACCGATACCTATTCGTAGTCTCCGCCCACTCACTTACCGACTACAGTTCAAATGATGCAAAGGATGAAGCTGTCAACTTTTTTTACAGAAAAAAGAATGTTCAGATGTAGTCATAATGGCAGGTGATTGACTTTAACGCTCGAATAGGGAAGCTGAGCCAATCGAGAAGGCATCTTTAGTATTTATGGAACCCCATGCCAGCAAACCAACAACGGTGATCATGTGTTGCAATTTTGCTCCGACAATAACTTGTTTCCGACCAGTACTAACTTTAGACATAAGGAAAGATATTGTCTCACATGGCGTCTGACGACATCAAACCAACGATGGACACATAGATCACACTACTATAGGCCATCGGTAAAGGGTTACTGCTCTTCCTGTAGTACCTGTTTGGACACCGATCATGTGATTTTACAAGCTCTTGTATATCTGCGCCTTAATGATCACAGGAAACAGGAGACAATGAGGCCCATCTGTATTCGATTGGCAGATGAGGACGCCGAGTGCGAATTTCTAGAGGAGTTAGCTAGACATTTATCTGAACGTGACAGCAATGCTAATCCTGAAGAAACCTTGCGTGTTATTATGTCTGCTGTAGAAACAGCGGCAATGACGATTGGTAACCTACCCGAAGGTTAACAAACGTCATTGGGTTTCTGTGACGTCATCCAAACCGATTGATGAGAGAAGATTGATTACAGCTGGCTCTGACCAAGACGAAGGGTGCAAGTAACTTAAACGTCTTTCCACTGATCGCGAGCAGTGGTGGTGGGTAGCAAAAGTGAGAGAGATGGAGAAGGCATCGGCGTTGGGTATCACTCGGCAACTATTTAGGCTTATTAGGACACCGGCAAGAAGAAAATGGTGGTGAGTGAAACCAACACCAAAAAGAATGGGATGCTGATAACGTCCCAGGACAGACAGCTAGAACGTTGGGTGGGACACTTCGAAGCATATTTCATCTGGCCCTCAGCAACACTTCAGTTACCCAACATCCAACCTGAACCTGAGTAGGGTGTAGATATCGGTCCACCAGCTCTTTTTGAAGTTGAGAGAGCTGTATGAAACTTGAAACGATGCAAAGCAGCAGGGCCTGACGGTTTGCCTGAAGTTTTCAAGTATGGAGATAGGAAATTGCTGCTTAAGGTAACGGAGGTTACTAAGTAGTGTATGAGAAATAGAGGTAGTGCCGTCAAACTGGTCTACTTTGCTTACTATCCCAGTCTATAAGGGAAAGAAATCTTATGACAACCAGACAGGAATTAGTTTGACTAGTATTGTGTCCAAGACCCTAGGGTCCACAGACATCTGACGCCGAACTGAAGCTCAAGAACAACATAGTCGAGAAAACCAGACAAGTTTCAGACATAGTCGAAGGTGTATCCATCATATTTGCACCATCCGACAGGTTCTGGAACACAGACATACCTACCGGTTAGTGGCCGACACTTACCATATTTCTTGACCCGAAGGTGATGGCATTTGATTCAGTTGACTGTGAGGTGTTGTGGCATATCTTGTGTGCGTTGTTAACTGCTGTATGTAGTGTAGTATTGAAAGTTAGTGAACTCTATTTGCTTTCTGGATCATCGATCTATATTTTATGTTATTCTTCCTTTCAGATTTGTTTGGCAACTGAGTTAAGTACCACTGTCAAATCACCTTTTTTAACGTTCAGGATTCTGGTAAGCCATTAGTTGAGTGGAGGTGACAAGTATTCTACAAACAGTAAGTATTTTTTTAAACAATCGCTCAATAAGCAATAGTATTATCAGCTACAGAGTCTTGTGATAAATAGAGTTATAACTGAAGTGAGAAATGACTGAACAATCTGCACGTAAGTTAAAGTTACCTTAAACTGTTGCCTTAGTTATATCTTGCTTATTATCAACACCTGTAAGTGCAAGTCTTGGTTGTGCACGTTCGGAACTGGTAAGCCTTTTATTGGATTGCATTTTAAATCAATAAATATTCGTAAACTATCCCATATTGTTTTCATTTTTGATTGCTTTTGTTAAATTTCTTCAATTTTTGTCTATTCACAAAGTGACTAACTGAAAGTTTTAAATATCCTAGCACCCATGGTTGTTGAAAGCTTTTTATTTGAAGAAGTCTATATTGTACCATTCCAAGTTGTGATTGGTAAAACACAAAACAGGTCACTTAGAATCGGCAAGTTTCCACCAGGATACCCTGAGCATAGTCTACCAAAGAAATCGACTTAGGACGTAATACTAAGTGCATCTCTAGTCTACTTCTAAAGATACAATCTGATTGAGCCACTGTTCCTTCAAAAGAGTAAACACTAGCTTTTTTCATGCTCGGCTGTTTAAAGATGACTTTCTAATTCATTCATACAATCATGCTTACAGTTATTGCTTTCCCAAGGAATATGAACTAGGCATATCACAATTCAATAACAGTATCTCCTCTTTTTCTTGAAACTACATATTTTTGTTTGTCTGCAAAAGTTAACGAAATCTAAGCATCCATTTGTTTTCTTCTATATAAAACACTAAGAAGAAAAGAGTAAATCAGATCAAGATTAGTGGTTCAAGAAGTGATCCTTAGGAGAATTTATGTACTATGAAAAATTTCTTAAGACAGCACAAATTTCCTCCTAATCACTAGATGTTTTACTCATAAACCAACTGTCCATATTTAATGATAGAGTCAGTTGGTACATTTAGTGATTTTTAGTTTAACCAATCGAATGCCTTAGTAATAGATGTGAAAATAGCAACTTAGAACATTACATGGTAGTGAGTCGGTTCAAATTAAAGTCAAACAGGCAGAAGGCTAGGAAATGACAACCATTTCTATCATGGCAACTTAGTCCATGTGTTTAAGGCGATCAGATAGTAGTTAGAACTACTAACCCTACCCAGAGTGAAACCATAATGCACACCAAAAAGAAAAGTCCTATTACAAATAATTACAGAGTGTGATTCATGCAGCTCTTTTTCAATAACTTCCTAACAGGCTTTGTCAACTCACCATTTTTTCATCGATATAGTAATATCTACTGTGCAATCAGTGGGTAATCACTATATCGTATCAAAGATGGAAAACAAATAACATCATAGACCTATCCAGAGAACTTTAATGAGAAATAGAGTGTATAGTTGATTCATTTGACCACTGTTTCAAATCTCAAATATAATTTTTAGGAAGGATTTTGTTTATTTATACCAGTGCCAACAATTTGTCGATTTGATAAAGCTCATCGATTTGTGTCTTATAGTCTATTTTCCAGTTCAAGAAGTGGGGAAACTATAGCGTATACACTAGGAAACAAGTTCACACTGATAAAATTTTATTTTGTAATGACAACAAAATTAGTTGCATACGAATGGGTATTCTTAAGAGTACAATACACTAAACATTACGGATAAATTGTCTGTTAAATGAGTGATTGTACATTCAACAATAAGAACAGTATCATCTCTCGAGACAAAGTCACATCATCCTACCGCAAATGAAGGAAGTCATGGATATTTGATTGAGACTGCTTGAACCTTTTAAAGCCTTTGTGGTCTATAAACTTCCCTTTACAACCATGAAGTCGAGAGTGCATTGTCTTCTCTCCTTTCCCCAATGCTACTTTTCTTTACGCCTTATCTTGTAAACTTTTTTAATGTTTTGAAACTTTATATTCTAACCTGTTAATTGTGTTGATCTCTATGCGTTTTTTTTGTGATTAGTTTCCACTTTGTATCATACTTGTGGTTTTTTGATATCATTTAAAAATTATGATCTTCATTAACGTAACCTTAGTTACTACGTTGTATTCATCATGGACTGACATCATGTAAAGAACCATTGAAAAACTGCAGGCATTGAACAACTGTTTCATCCTGGTTTTTCGAGTTCCTTGGCAGTATGTACCAATGACCCCATCATGGATCTAACCTATCATCTTCAGGTCTCGTGGCAAGTAAGTTACCATAGGATCACTAGGCTGGGGTCCAACTGTTGTCAATCTGGGATGAATACTAACTTGCAATAAATAAATCGCTTTAAACCTCAGACTAAATTACTTTTCATTACTTTTTTTGTCCGTAATTATATACATAAACTAGTGATTAGATATCCATTTTTTGAAAAAGCCCCGTCATATAAGGTTTTTGAAATGAAACTGAGTAGTCCTGGCCTAAGTATTTCGTAAATATTTGCTCACAATCAACTGAAGTACCTTTTTTTTGTGTGTCTAAAACAATTTTCTCTCTGAACCTTTTTGTTTTATTTTCATTGTAGCGAAATACGCAGTCCCCATCTGTAACAGTATCTGACGGCAGTAAGCTACCTGTACATTTTTAATTTTTGCTAGTCAAACTTTTACGGCATGCTGTTTTATCTGGAGATTCTGATAAAGTTCACAAACTATTAAAATGTCCAAATGTTTCACCAGTTGACCATGGTGTTGATATGCCTATTATCTGTATGGCTGCTCTAAAAGGTTTGTACAATTAGATTCATATGTTTTTTATAACTATACATCGAAACAGTATTCGTACATCCAGTCTTATTAGATTGCATATATATATATATATATATATATATATATATATATATATATATATATATATATATAAATTCCTTCCTTAGGACAGAAATCGTATATATTATTATTACTATTATTTGTCCCTTGGGTTCCTAGTGGAACATATGGCTTCAGTAGCACATCTCCATCTCACTCTATTCTCTGCACTCTTCTGAACCTGGCTCCACCACTGCCCACAGGATTTAACTTCTCTCTCACACCATCTCCTCCATGTCACCCTCACGTCGGACGCCCAACTCGTCATTTCCCCTTTTGGGTTCCACTCCAGGGCTTGTCTGACCTGGTGCGTGATGTCCCCCAATGGTCTTCTCAGTGTATGTCCAGTCCAATCCAATCCAATCCAATCCATCTCGACTTTCTTCTGCATACTTGTTGGGCGTTAGATTGTTGGTTGGTTCGTTGTCAGCTAGAGTGAGTTCCTTGTTGCTTATTCTTATTATTCTGTCCATCTATCTGATCTGACCTTCAGTATCGAGTGAGCGTAGGTGTATGTGGCAGCTATTCATGTATGTCTGCAGCTTGTTGGGAATGCGTTTGGCAACGCTCGAAGTCTCTGAACCATGTAGAAGCACTGACTTGACTGACATTAGTGTTGAAAATCCGTATGTTGTTCACGCTTTGTGCTGAGTGGAGTGTAGTAGATCTCCACAGTGATCATTTCGGATTAGTGCAGGAGGGCGTGTGTTGCTTTCTTTCCGATGCTGGCTGACTTTGACATCCTCATGTGTGCCTGTGCCGTCTGTAGTTGAGATGATGCTGCCTAGATGGGTGGGTAGGTGGGAGCGACTACTTCTGTTAGGTTTCTCCCGTTGATGGTGATTGGTGCCTTGTTGTTGATGCAGTTGTTGGTTGGTTATCTTCATCACCTCTGTCTTTTCTACATTCCCTTGAAGTCCCATCTTCGCTGTCCTGCCTCTTCTATCAACTTGTTGGTTTTTGCCTGTAGATCTTCGAGTTTTTGGGACAAGACAAGACATTAGACATGAATCATCGTTGGTGAAATGCAAATCTTCTTCTGGGTTTTTTTTTCATCGGTCAAACAGGGTATGCCTCTCTTCTCACTCTTCACAGTTTGTTGCATGATCCAGTGGAGTTGACCACAATCAGGAAGATGATCGGTGATAGCAGGCAATATTGTCTTATATATATACATCCACTTCACAGCCTCGTGCCCATTCGTGTGGTAGGCAACGAGCGACACCTAGTGTGTGAAGTCTAGTGATACTACCTGGCTGCCCAAACCTTGTTAGTTGGAAGTCATCTCCCTAAACCAATGAGCCATAGTTCCACTATGTATACCTAGACATCTTGGATACCTTTATCGCTTTAAGACGATAATTTTATTCGTGCCTATCTGTCAAGATTGTTCGTTATAACATCGGTTAAACTAGTGACTCAATGTAGTAAGTCACATAATTCATACTGCATTGAAAACGTTTTGTTTATTGAAAATACAGATTTATTACATGATGAACAACAAGAACTGAGCCACACAAAATGGTTGAACTGTTTTAGGGAGCATATGAAGATACTAATGAAAAGAAGTAATGAAAGAGTTGGTTTCACAGGATACATCTTTAGGGATAGTTTTTAATCAGGCTTTACAGTTACATATGCAAACTTTGCAACATAAACATTTGATGTTAGTATGCCTAATAGACACGTATAGTTCGACTATACGAATTAGAGGATAATACAAGAAATACAACAGTAAGAAGTGTTTCTAAGATTGTACTGATCACGGAGTGACATTACTTAAAGAACCATTGAAAGAAAATGTTGAAGTACTGGACAGCTGTTTTGGCCTAGTATGGAATTCCTTGGCAGTATGCACCCGTGACCCCACCAACGATTGAACTCAGGACCTCCAAGTTGTGCGGCGAATGTGATAAATAGTTAGACACTGGGTCGGAATTCAGTCGTCTATAGTTTCCCAATTCTATCAGTTCGCTACATATTATGACTATCCACTATGGTTTTCAGTTGACGTCCGCTTCACTTCCAACTAGTTGATCTCACTGGTCACGGCTTCTCATTGGAAGCATGTCGTTAATGCTCACTATACAGTAATGCATTTTTAGGTCAATGGGGATTTCATTTTTAAGTTTGTAGTCGTCACGGACTGACATCAGTTGAAAAATCGAGTATCAAAACAAATATCAGAAACAAATGCAAAATTTTATAGAATCTGTTTAGACAGTCAGTTGAATAATAAGATTTAATGTTAAGTACAAGCTCTGGTGACAGTTTTTCCGTTGGCTTCCTTTTTGTGACCTATTTGTTAACGTTAAAATTAGGAAAGGAATCACTCCAAAGCACAATGAAGAAATTATTTTGTTACATATGTATGGCGCGGGTGTATTCAGAACTCCCGCTTCTTTTAGATTGCCTGTTTGGACTCTGACCATACTTTCCTGTGTGTTAAGTTCGCCTTGTTTTTTTTATGGTCATCGAAATCGTCGTCCTAAACCAATTGACGTAAGTGAATTGGTTTAACTTAGTATTGCAACTAAATACTGAATTGAGCCAGATTCAAGGCTACATGTTACCTGCAGAATGTATAGATAATCATTGGCTTCACTTACAAGACACTATAAAAATGTCGGGTAAAGCTGCCTGTGGCTTTGAAGAACGCTTCGCTAATGAACAATAAGTTCCTGCTAGCTTTTTATAATTTATTCACGTTCGTCGTAAGATGGTGTGCCTAAGCCCTTTATGTAACACAGCGAACAACATTTATACAAGAACTGTAAGGTCTGATGGTTAGAAGGCACCAGTGAGATTTAAGCAGCAGCTACATCTAGCAATATTTAGAAGCTATCCCAACTCATCCTAACCGCCGGCAGCAAAAAGCCTAGTGTGAGTGAGATGATCTGTGAAGTATATGGTACGCTGATCCACGACCTTTTTAAATATCTGCAACCCTAGGCGGAGCACTTCTTAAAGTAGTTCTCTTGGACTACTGTTTCAGAAGCACTAACCCCAACGTCTTCTCCCCTATGTTAGGTTAAAAACGGCCCATCTAAAAAAGCAGAGATCCATAAGTAACACGAAGTTCTGAAGCACCAAGTGACACCTCTCAGACAACCTAAACACTACTCTCTTCAGAGATGAAGACGGGACTTTAATCAGGGGACTGACTATGCTATATGGGAAGGTATAGCCGACGAAGAGTATTCCATCACTGTGAAATGAAGCGATTGCTGTACCCTTCTTCAAAAATCTTTTACGTAAATATAATAATCATTGGGATATCAATCTACTATCAGTAGCCTTTAAAATATAAATGGTTGTAGTACTTCACAGGCTCTGGAAAACGCTTGAAAAATTGATCCACGAGGAAGATGTCGTGTTTCGTTCAGGTCGTGGATGCATTATTTACGTGTTCACCTTCCGTCGGGTGCTGGGACGCCATGACATATATTGTAGGCCAACTGTCGTATTTCTCGATATTAGGGATACTTTTGATCGGTTAGACAGAGCTATGCTCTGAGAGCAAGCATCGGTTAGAGTAGGGTGTCTGGGAAGTTTTATTAAAGTCTTACAGTCTTATACTTTGGCATATCAATTAGGGTAAAAGTTTGCAACCACTTCTCCCCATTGTTCCGTACCAGTGGTATGGTTAAGCAGGGGTGCCTGACATCACCATTCCTCTTAAACTTTGCGATGGACGACGTTCTCCAAGCAGCGCTGAAAGAGGTACTTGGTGGTAGTGTAGACCTGTTACCAGGTGGAAGACTTTTCAACCCTGAATATACGAATGATATTGTTTTATTATACGACAATATCCAGGTTATTCAAATAGCACCCAACCATTTATTAGTTAGTATCCGTGGGTATGGTATGTTCTTCACACCGTTAAAGTGCAAAATTCTCTTACAAGACTGGCAAGAGTCTATGTCTGCCCCCCTCCGTTGGTAGTGAGTCGTTAGAGGTAGTCGAAGAATTTGCGTACCTGGTTAGTCATGTGAGTGCTAGTGGAGTTCCGCTGATGAGATATCCAACCGCTTGTCGAAACTGGAGTGACATACGCTAGTCTGGATCACGTTTGACACCGTCATGACGTTAACCTTGCTGTATAAGGTCAAGTATACATTACATTGATGCTCGTAGTTTTGCTCCTACGCCTCTGAAACCTGTCTTCCTTGAGCTGTGAGTGTTCGACGAACTTGCGTCTCTGATGTATTGCTCGCAACCGGGGGGTACACTATGGAAATAATTCTGGGATAAGGTGACATATATTCAAGGATGATGAAGACTATCATTCATTGAATATTATCGTCTTAAAACGTCGGCTTCAGTGGCTTGAATACGTGTAACGCATGCCATCCTAGTGGTTCCCATATCTCTCTCTGTTCACTTGCTTTGAGACTGGTTAGATGAATTGGAGAAGTAGTCATTGTATAATGTAATACTATGAACTGAAAAACACTTTCGTTGGGTTTGCCTCTGTGGATGCTACGTGAATTCATTGACGCCGTCCCGAGAATCATACAGCTCAATGGCTTGTTATGGTGGCAAAAATGGCTTGGAATCGAAACCTGTAGCGGCCAATGTATTTAGTCTTATGGCCCCTCATATTTTAACTCTGGAGGGGGGGGGTTGTATTGTTCCATCAGACGATACAACGATTCTTTATCTCACGGTGCTACTTCATAGGTTGGCCGAATGAGCTTCTTCCTGCGACTCTTGGGTTTAGCAAACAATGAATAGAATTCTTGGGAGCCGCTAAGATCACACGTACGATAGATATCCTAGCCAGCAATGTTAATCGTTCTAGATAACTCCTGAATAACGCACAATTCCTAGAATGTTCAAACATGCATGCACCACTGGACATTTTTTCGACAGCTCAGAAATAATTGGGGATTAGATGGTTAATGAAACGAAAGAGGATATCAGGGAAACTGGAACATTAGGTGTAGAATAATACATTTAAGTATTTTTTGAAGATATTGAGCATGAAACGTTGGAATTACTTCTTTTCAGATGCTCTGTGACTTACAAAAATGCAAACTATGTCTAGTGTCAACTTTTTACTCAACGCCCAATGTTTGCGTTAGCACAGTGAAATTAATTTGACTAGTATTTTGTCCAATATCCTAGGGTCAATAGACATCTGACGCCGAACTGGAGCTTAAGAACAGCAAAGCCGAGAAAACTAGGCAAGTTTCACACATAGTCGAAGGTGTATCCATCATATTTTTACCATCCGACGGGTTCTGGAACACAGATATGCCTATTGGCTAGCAACTGACACTTACCATATTTCTTGACCCATTTGACTCAATCGACCGAGAGGTGTTGTGTCAGTGTCTGACTGTGAAGGGAGTGCCCATATAACGCTAACCAAAGCTCCCCACTCAAACTCACTCAGCCGTGTATGGGCTTATGGGAGAGTTGTCAATAGAATTAACGACAAGTAGTGGTATTCTACAGGGGTGTCATGGTCCCTGTCTGACTTCATCATAGACGTACTAATGGACAAAATCTTGGGTACGTCTACCCTCACAGGGATTCAGTTACTGTCTGGAGGTCGTCTGATTGACTTGAAGTTTTCAGATGATATATGGTTTTGCTGGGTGAGAACGCTGACGCAGTGCAGGGTATTCTGAGCGCTTTGAGTGGAAATCTGACCGTGTTTGGCATGCGTTTTGCTGGCACTTGTCAAATGTAAGATAATGTATCAAGAGTGGTCTGCAGCCATTCCCAGTTTAATGATAAGTAGTGAGTTAATGGAATGTGTTGACGACTTCATTTACTTCGGGAGTTGCATCAGCCTGAACGGTCTGTTTTCTGGCGAAATCTCAGCTCGGATATAGAAACCCCTTCTGGCATTTGCCAACTTGCGTCGCTTTTAGTACTGACTGGTGAGGTATTGAACTATCTACCAAGGGAGTTTATTGCACTGTAATCCGTTCTTTCCTGTTATGCAGCTGTGAGACATGACCGTTAAAAGTAGAAGACGTGAAGCGATTACACGGTTTTAATCACAGGTGTCTTCTAAACATTGCGCGAGTATTATAAATTCTCTGTGTCAGCAATGTTAAAATCATGCGAAGTCTACTGGGCAAGACAAGCAAGTTGATTGATGATGTTGTGAACCTTCATCGACTGAGATGAATTGGATATGTTATGCGCATGCCGAGTGATCGCTTACTTCGACATGCCATGCTAGGGTAAGTTGGACTAGGTTTGAAGAGGGTCCAGGGGTAGCCAGACAAAGATGTGGTCCCATTCGATAAAGTCCCTGACTATTGGTCTTGGTTGTGTAGAGAGGTGTAAACTGCTTGACTTGGGTTCCCGAGATGAAGGGGAATAATTTTGAGGACTGACTCTTAGTGATGAAATGGTTAAAAATCAGTTGAACTGACGCAGATGTATTCACTCCTTGATGTCTTCTAAAGCTTGAATACTTACATTAACCTTTATTTTTAGATTGTTTATTTTCTCACACACAGTTGTCTACTTTGATATTACTATTCTATACACCTGTTCTTTGTGTACTACTGTGAAATGTAGTAACTTGGACCAATGCACTTGCGTGCAAGGTTCTTCATTCATTTCTTCAGTCAGTTACAACAGTGTTTTATGTCCTGCTGTGCAGCTGTGAAGTATAGTTGGTGAAGATAAAACAGTTAAGAGGTCTCTAGGTACTTGACCACCATTCTGACTGCAGCATTATTTGCATATGATTTAGCCGCTGTGTAAAGTAGATTAAAGTTACGTGTAACGGATGGGTTTATGGGTCAGATACATTGACCCATCGTTTCCTTCAGTGACCGATAATATCTGGAGTTTAGTTTAGAAGAAAACTATTAGTGGATAGAGTAAAGTAACATTAATGCGTAGTCATAAATTATTGGAATGTGGCAAGTGAAGAATTTTGTTCTCCATATCTCCTTTCATCCTTTTATTATGACTTTTTAAGACCTGTGATTATAATATAACTTCCATTTCTTTTCATTGTGTTGCAGCCCCTTGGCACTAAGTCACTATCAATAGTTGCTTGTCACAGTCTTTTCCTCTGATATACTTCTTTGGTGATGAGCTGATACGAAAATTAGCAACTGAAATCACAACATAGTCACACTAGGTCCTGTGTTTTTGATTTCCGTTTGTTTAGCTTGAAATGAGATGAGATTATTATTACTATTATTTGTCCCTTTGGTTCCTAATGGAACATAGGGCTTCAGTAGCACGTCTCCATTTCACTCCATTCTCTGCACTCTTCTGAACCTGGCTCCACCACTGCCCACAGGCTTTAACTTCTCCCTCACACCATCTCCTCCATGTCACCCTCACGTCGGACGCCCAACTCGTCATTTCCCCTTTGGATTCCACTCGATGGCCTGCCGCATGATGTCTCCGAATGGCTTTTTCAGTGTATGCCCAATGCATTCCCACTTTCTTCTGCATACTTGTTGGGTGATAGGTTCTTGGTTGGTTCGTTCCCAATAGCTTATTCTTTCTAGCCATCTGGTCTTCAGTATCAAGCATAAGCAGCTGTTCATGTATGTCTGTAGTTTGTTGGAAATGCTTTTCTTACCGCGCTAAGTCTCTCAACCATCATATAGAATCACTGGCTTGACGTTGGTATTGAAAATCTGGATGTTGATATTTTACCTGAATACAGTGCAGTAGATCTCCACACTGATTTCATATTCATGAAATGAGATGAAATCGGTTTATTAGTCCTTTTTATATCTAAATATATTATGATGCAGATATTTTAGCGGTTATATTTTCTCGTAGTTTATCACTTCAAAATGATTAGATTTCGGTTTAATAACTTCTTGTTATGTTTTCCAGGTTATGTAGATATAGTTGGTTTACTTATCCGACATGGTGCATCAGTGAATGCACGATCTACTGATGGGTCTACTGCTCTGTTATATGCTTCCGATGGTGTAAGATATACTTATTTTGTTGTGTTTAATTGTTGAATAGAATATGCTTTGTAATGCTGAACACTTTTTTTTTTATTGCTAACGAATTCGCTAAGCATTTAGTTTGTCTATCCTGAGTAAAAATTGTTTTTGTACCTAATCTTACTATGTCTTGAAAGCTGTCAACTTTTTTATTACCACATAAATTATGCTTCTATTTCACAGCAACTTTTATATTAAAACATTTCAAGGTTTCTGTTATTTTGTTCAAGAAAGTAATAGAATTCAACAACATTGGAACAGTTTACGTTTTAGACTGAGCCACAATAAATATATGTGAAAAATCATGTTAAATACTGTATGAGATTATCCAAGTTGAAGCAAGTGGATTTAAAAGTCAAATCCCCGTGCCATTGTACCACACCACTACGCCTTTTATAGTGTTGCACATGCCATGCATTACTAAAAATTGAAGATTATGTGCTGAGATATTTTACTGTCGGAACTTTATATAGACTTTCAAACAGAAAAATCACTGTACAAACGCTTAAAGTTACTCAATTTTCAACATCGTTAAAAAAGAAAAAACTTGTAAAAGTACCGGTGATATTACATCAGAAAACAATAAAGATTTTAGTAGTGAGATAATAGAGTACTTAAAAAACACTCAAAAGAAGATTGACAGGTTTTATTATCTACATCAGTATGATAAATGCCTCGATACTGCCGGGTATTCATGATGATATATTCATCTTGTTGACTAGCAGTAGAGTCCAGGACGCGTGTTTCGCCATATTTGGGACTCGTCAGTTAGATATACCTACACCTCAGTGAGTGGTGTTGTTCCCACTGAGATTTGAACCTAGTACCCATCGCTTCAAACGCCAAAGTGCTATCTACAAGCCCTACCTCTTTTGCAACGGGTATCAGTTGTTACTTTTCATACTTTTAATTTTCCGGGGTCGAGCAATTTGACACTGTATTGCAACGGTAAATTGTGAGTGTCAATAGCAACAACTAATACTCATTGTACAAGAAGTGCTCTCGTGTTCCCGTAGCCTAAGGGGATAACGCTTTCGAGTTTAAAGCGATGGGTACGAGGTTTTAGTCTCAGTGGGAATAAAATCAATCACTGGGAAGCAGGTACATCCGGCTAATGAGTGAGTCATAAATAGAAAGAAAAACGCGTCCTAGTCATCAGGACAAAAATGATGGACTTACAGCCATCCTATCAAACCATACCGCTGCTGATTTCTAGAAACTCGTGTTCCCAATTATTTATTATTATTGTTATTTGTCCTTTGGGTTCCTAGTGGAACATAGGGCTTCAGTAACACGTCTCCATTTCACTCTATTCTCTGCACTCTTCTGAACCTGGCTCCACCACTGCCCACAGGCTTTAACTTCTCCCTCACACCATCTCCTCCATGTCACCCTCACGTCGGACGCCCAACTCGTCATTTCCCCTTTTGGGTTCCACTCCAGGGCCTGTCTGACCTGGTGCGTGATGTCCCCCAATGGTCTTCTCAGTGTATGTCCAGTCCAGTTCAGTCCAATCCAATCCATCTCGACTTTCTTCTGCATACTTGTTGGGCGTTAGATTGTTGGTTGGTTCTTTGTCAGCTAGAGTGAGTTCCTTGTTGCTTATTCTTATTATTCTGTCCATCTATCTGATCTGATCTTCAGTATCGAGTGAGCGGAGGTGTATGTGACAGCTATTCATGTATGTCTGCAGGTTGTTGGAAATGCTTTTGGCAACGCTCGAAGTCTCTGAACCATGTAGAAGCACTGACTTGACTGACATTAGTGTTGAAAATCCGTATGTTGTTCACGCTTTGTGCTGAGTGGAGTGTAGTGGAGTGCAGTAGATCTCCACAGTGATCATTTCGGATTAGTGCAGGAAGGCGTGTGTTGCTGTCTTTCCGATGCTGGCTGACTTTGACATCCTCATGTGTGCCTGTGCCGTCTGTAGTTGAGATGATGCTGCCTAGGTAGGTGGGTAGGTGAAAGTGACTACTTCTGTTAGATTTCTCCCGTTGATGGTGATTGGTGCCTTGTTGTTGATGCTGTTGTTGTTTGGTTATCTTCATCACCTCTGTCTTTTCTACATTCCCTTGAAGTCCCATCTTCGCTGTCCTGCCTCTTCTATCAACTTGTTGGTTTTTGCCTGTGGATCTTCGAGTTTTTGGGACAAGACAAGACATTAGACATGAATCATCGTTGGTGAAATGCAAATCTTCTTCTGGGTTTTTTTTTCATCGGTCAAACATCGTATGCCTCTCTTCTCACTCCTCACAGTTTGTTGCATGATCCAGTCGAGTTGACCACAATCAGGAAGATGATCGGTGATAGTAGTAGTAGTATATATATATAGTTCGACTATACGAATTAGAGGATAATACAAGAAAATACAACAGTAAGAAATGTTTCTAAGATTGTGTTCATCACGGAGTGACATTACCTAAAGAACCATTGAAAGAAAATGTAGAAGTACTGGACAGCTGTTTTGGCCTAGTATGGAATTCCTTGGCAATATGCACCCGTGACCCCACCAACGATTGAACTCGGGACCTCCAAGTTTCGCGGCGAATGTGATAAATAGTTAGACACTGGGTCGGAATTCAGTCGTCTATAGTTTCCCAATTCTATCAGTTTGCTACGTATTATGACTATCCACTATGGTTTTCAGTTGACATCCGCTTCAACAGTGGTCCTAAGGGACTACTGATAGCTACACTGTCAACTTGTAGGAAGCGTTCACCTTCAAATATGAAATGAACTTTTATTAGACAAGCTACTTGTTACCAAACCATCTGAATTCGATTTCAATGTTTTACGATATTTTTATTTAACTTTGTTCATGTTCATGTCTAAAACTTGACATTTATGTTTTAGAGTCGTTAGTGGATGGAGAATTTGTTCATTGAATTTATTCATGCAAACTTTTTTGTTGTTGTACAAATCATTTAGGGTCATCTTACTGTTTTATCACTGCTTCTGAATGCTGGTGCATTGATTAATGTTATTAACTGTCATGGAGACACTGCCCTTTCACGTGTAAGTTTCCGTAGCGTTTTATTAACGAGGTATATTTCTCTTCACTTCTTAAAACCTTTATCATAATTTTATTTTAAAAAATTATTTATAGTTATTATACAAGCTTGACTATTTATCATTGGATATCGTCATTTTAGGCTACTCGTCGTGGATGGGTTCAGTGTGCACGATTTCTTTTAAGTTACGGCGCCAATCCTAATCCTATGCCATCAGATGGGCATACTTTTGTAGTAGCCCCTTTACATTTAGCCCGCCAAATGCATCAGTCAATTATTGAACAAGATATTATGAAAAGAACTATCGAGTAAGTCATTTTAAACTGATACTTGTTTGTTAACCAAACAAACAGATTGTAGTTTTCTTGATGGTGACTAACATAGATGTCTAAAACAGTTTAGACAATGGGAAGTTTTAAGTTTCAATATGAAATAGGCTGTTTGTTTGAACAAATTCACTACATAATTGAATAAAGTTATCAAAAATACCCAAGATATGGTCGTATAAAAAATACAAAAATGTTATGTCAAGATTAAAATTTCAAACCATAAACACCGGCATTTGATTGTCAAAAAAACGTCTATTTGAAGGATAACAAGCCCAAAGCCTGACCCTATCTTCTCATTGTTGTGATGCCCCAGTTTTCTATAAAACATTGGTTATCGATCTGAACATTTTAACGTGTCATTCACACACCACTTTTTACGGTATGACTAATAGTCTACTTTCTGCCCTCATTGTAATGTAAATCGCTAATTGGTTAATCTTTACTCTTACTATACAAATGTCTCAAATTGAGGACAAGGTCATTTTTCATGTGTATGCTTACTCACGTGTTTTGCATTGATTCATTATTATATTCTCGGAGTAATAAACTCTCCCATCTGCCAGCTTCTGTCTTCTCTCTATTCGTTCTGGGGTTGCAGTCAGTGACTCTTGTGTACCAAGTTAGCTGTCAGCTGGGCTCACGTATTATATTCGTTCCGGAATATATATTATATAGGGGGATACGCTGGACTGCGGAAAAGAACCTAGAAGATCTGGATTTCGCCGATGACTTGTGCCTGATGTCACACAAACTTGAAGATCTGCAGGCGAAAACTAACAAGTTGGCAGAAGAGGCAGCGAAGACGGGACTTCAGGTGAATATAGAGAAGACAGAGGTGATGAAGATACCGCACCACCAACAACAACAAACTCCAGTCACCATCAACGGGAGAAACTTAAAGAAAGTAACCTCCTTCACCTATCTAGGAAGCACTGTTTCAACTACAGGCAACACAGACACAGACGAGGATGTCAAAGTCAGAATTGGAAAAGCAAGACAGGCCTTCATCAGCCAGAAACCAGTGTGGAGATCTTTTGCACTCAGCATGCGGAACAAGATACGGATTTACAACACCAACGTCAAGTCAGTGCTTCTGTATGGTTCAGAAACTTGGCGCGTTACGAAAGGGATTTCCAATAAACTACAGACATTCATCAACAACTGCCGCCTACGCTGGCTCGCTACTGAAGATCAGATGGCCAGAAAGAATAAGCAACAAGAAGCTGTGGGAACGAACCAACCAAGAACCTATCACGCAACAAATATGCAGAAGGAAGTGTAGATGGATTGGGCATACACTGAGAAGGCCGACTGGGGACATCACGCGTCAGGCCAGTTGCTCGAGTGGAATCCCCATGGGAAGCGACGAGTTGGGCGTGTGAGGTGAGGGTGACATGGAGGAGGTCGTGCGAGGAGGAAATGAGAGCTTCTGTGCTGTCGTGGAGCCAGGTTCAAAATATTTCGGCGAACAGAGTTCACTGGAGACGTGCTACTGAAGCCCTATGTTCCATTGGGAACCCAAGGGACTAACAAAAAAAATAAATAATTATATATATATATATATATATATATATATATATATATATATATATATATATATATAACCATTAGTGCTTCGAAACCATAACAGTTATCTTTCAGAAAGCAATTGTGATTCATATGATGAGTTCAATTAACTTTCTGTTGGTTTGTGTTTGAATATTCGTCTTGATTTTCACTTAACCGTAAAACTGTTTTAAGCTGAAAGTTGGGAAATTTCGGTAAGTGTTAAAAAAATGTAAAAACTGTTGAAGAGATTAGTAACATTAGTAAGATTGCAAGTAATTTGTTTATCTCCGATAAAAAATATACATCCTTTTTTTTTTCTATCTAACTATTCTATGCAGCATTGATAAAGCTATGACTGGAATAGTATCGACTACACTACCGGATCATCTAACCTTAATAGAACCAGGACATCTACCAGATACAGTGTCTTCAAGTTTATTTCCTGTTCAGCTTATTTCTTCAAAAGAACTTAGCCGTTTTATTCTTTATTTTAAAACACCATCTGGTTACGGTTCTCGTGGTACACAAACAAGTAATAAGGAATCGCCTCATGGATCAACACCATCCGATGAATTAATATTTGTCTATATTATTCGAGCTCAAATATGTGTACGTTTCTGTTAAATAATTAACATTGTTTTTTTAATAATTTATAGTATTCAAAATGGTATCAGAAGAAAAATAGTGTGTTTGATGTTTATCATAAAGACCGCTGATTTTCATGAACCTCTCCTTCTCTATGCCTAAATGATATCAATATGTATACATAATATTTCCTTGTTCTTTCGGTAGATAAGTAACAATAAGTAAATTAGAAAATTTGTACCTCAGGAGAATGATTTTAATGTTGTTGTGTTCTATGAGATGTGCAGTTTAACTGTGTTATCTCAGAGAATACAACACCATCAAAATTGATGAAATATACCCATTTATTTATGAATAAATCGGTATATTTCGTCAGTTGAAAGATTTTAAGGACCCAGTGACAGTGAAGGGACTCAGCAGGTTTCTTCTTTATTCTGTCAAACTTACACAAGAGAATGGCAAGATCGATATACCGAACAGTTGTATTGTACAATATGAATAGCTAAAATAAAATTTTTCTTGGAAAGCTTTGCGTCGTAATCTTATTTATCCTAATGATCGTAACTTTTGAAGAGATATGCTCTAAATCTAATTGATGGCATCCATGTACACCTTAATAAACTAGAAAGAAATATTTCTTAGCGAGAGTATTTTATTTTTAAGCTAACAACAAGTGAAGAACGGGATTCATCTAAATTTTATGTATCTAAGATGATAAAGAAGAGATGTAAATATATAAGAATCAAATTACTGAAAAGTTTCAAAATTGTTGAGTCACACGATAATTTCCTAGATACATCAGAGGAATACATGCTTAACCACTCTAGTATTATCCTGTAAAATATTCAGATATAGATTTTGTCTTTGGGACCAAAGCTTTGATTGTACCTTATCTAAAACTAGTGAACTTGATGCAAAAGTGTAATTTGAAAATATTATCAGTTAGACTCGAGACTTAATCCCGACGTCCAATGAAAGCTTCGAACATTTCAAAACCATCAAAATTAGAAGGAAAAAAAAATAATTATGGCATCTGTAGATCAGCATTTTCAGAAATCTAACTAAAAAAATAAGTGTTTGCTTTTTATCTCTAATTACCTTTGCTATTTTCAAGGGAGCCATCGAAACACCATTGCTCACCTATCCACCTACCTGGAACGTGCATTACTAGGCACTACACTTCTTTTGTTTAGAATAGCACAAACATTACATTTCTAGGTATCCCTGTTATAAACAATTCTAACAGTAGTAAGCCTAAATCAATTATTGGAATACAATAATCACATACATATTGATATACTAAATTAAGAGCTACACATAATGCGTAGACGTTAATAATACTGAATTGTCAGCTGAAATTAAGTTAAGTGAGTTGAAACTCCACGGCCCAACGGTTGGTAGTCATGCCTCTAAAAAGCAGGTACATTCAACTAACGGGTACCAAATAGGACAGAACGTGCGTCTTGGATTCCACCGCTGGTCACCAACTAGGCTACAATCTAAAGATTATCCAGGTAGTGTCGAGGCATCCTCACAGGGACCGATCTACCAACAGAGGTCGAGCAATATTATTTGTCCCTTGAGTTCCTAGTGAAACATACGGCTTCAGTAGCACGCCTCCATTCCACTCTGTCCTCTGAAATCTTTTAGACCTGGCACCACGACTGCCCACAAGCTCTCATTTCTTCCTCACATGATCTCCTGTATGTCACCCTCACCTCGAACGCCCAACTCGCCGTTCCCCATCTGGGTCCCACTCGATGGCCTGCTGCATGATGTCCCCGAATGGTCTTCTCAGTGCATGCCCAGTCCATCTACACTTCTGCATATTTGTTGCGTAATGGGGTCTTGATTGGTTCGTTCCCAGAGTTTCTTGTTGCTTATTCTTATTCTGAGCCTCAGTAACGAGCGTAGGCAGTTGTTGATGAATATCTATAGTTTGTTGGAAATGCTTTTCATAACGCGTCAAGTCTCTCAGCCATCATATAGAAGCACTGACTTGATGTTGGTACTGAAAATCCGGATGTTGTTCGTGCTTTATGCTGAGCGTAGTAGATCTCCACACTGATTTCGGACTAATAAAAGCCTGTCTTGCTTTTACGATCCTGGTTTCGACATCCTCATGTGTGCTTGTGCCGCCTGTAGTTGGAACGATGCTGCCTAGGTAGGTGTAGGTGAAAAAGGCTACTTCCTTTAGGTTCCTCCCGTTGATGGTGCTTCTTGTTGTTGTTTATCATCATTAGCTCTGTCTTCTCTACATTCAATTGAAGTCCCGTTTCGCTGCCCCTCCTCCTCTGTCAACTTGTTAGTTTTCGCCTGTAGATCTTCGAGTTTGTGCGACATTAGACACAAGCCATCGGTGAAATCCAAACCTTCTAGGATCTCTCCCCCGGTCCAGTGTACCCTCTCTTCTCACGGTTTGTTGCATGATTCAGTCCACGTCGAGCAATATAGCAACGGGAAACTACGAGTATCAATAAAGAACCTCTTTCGCTTGTCCTAACTTACCTATGGCGAAAACAGTTGCAATCTACATATCGCTACCCTCCACATTTAACTTCACAATAGTGCGTAAACTATTATTCATGTCAGTCTCAGTAGTTTTTGATTCATAAAGTGAAATCAACTGGAATAACTATTTTCACTAACTGCCTGGCGTTAATGAAACCTCAATAGTAAGATAATGTAGTGAACTGCATGTCAGTCAGTACCCTAAACAATTGGCTTCACCTATTTTGTATCGGTTAATACCTTGCTGCCTGAAAATTGTTAGGTAGAGTAGTAAGATTTTTCCGTAGAAAGGTGAATCCAATAGATTACAGTAGGATTAGAAATCAGAAATTGTATTTTATCTTTCTATGTATTATAAAAGCATACCGATTTCTTGATACTGTAGGATAATCATGTATCATGTTGGCTTACTGGACCGACTTTAGAATCTTTATCGTTAAGTTTTAATGGAACAAGAAAGCACTGCACTAGGATACCATTATCATCTGAGTACTCTGGAATTTGCGTGTATTCAGTATCGACAGTTATCCGAAGTGGTGGTCTAAATACTATCTGTTTGGAGTCGAGCATACAAAATTCTTCAGATGGGGAAATTGCCCAGGTTTGTTTTCTTTTTTTTGTTACCCTTTTACTATGCGTAAATTCATAGCTACCGATATAAAAAGTGCTGTCTACACCTGTCATCCTGATAGGATGAGAAGTAAATAGCATGGCAAAAGAACTACTTATCGTAATCAACAGATTACTTTTGTGCGTCATTAGTACATTTCATCTGTCTAAGAAATATGTGAATGAAATACACTCAGCAGCCTTGCGCACATTCGTGCGGTAGGCAATGAGCCATACCTCGCTGCCCTAATCTCGGCAGGTGGAGCAGGGCTCGCACCCGTGGTTGAATGTCATCTTCCTAAGCCAATGAGCCATAGCTCCACTGAAAAACATCTTGTGATCTTCACTGTAACTAATCATAAAAAGATGCTTACAATGACTTAAGAGTTGTGTGTACTCGGTAAACCAACCACCTTTAGATCTTCTTGGTTAAGACTGGATAGAGAAAATGAAGCTGCTAGAATGATTCACAGATCGTAGAATCACTGTTTGGTCAGCGTCGGAGACAGGTGAATGGTACTAGACAAGGCAGGTAAGTCGATGAGGTTGTGAACCTTTACCGACTGAGGTGGCTAGCATATTCTGAGGCACCGCTTACTTCGGTGTGCAATGTCAGTAGAAGTAGGATTGGATTGCAAGAAGGCTCAGGGGTCGCCGGAGCAAGAATTAACACTAGTCCATGACTTGGTATGAACCATGTACGGAGATGTAGACTGTACAATTGAGGTTCTCGAGACGAAAAAGACTGATAGTTAGAGATCCATGATGACAGCAGCGAAGGTGTATTCACTCTTTGACGTCTTCTAAACCCTGAGTGTTTTGACTAACCTTCATTTTCAAATTCTGTCTTCTCTCCATTCACCTTTGTCTGCTTTGATATCGCTATTTTTCTATCCACCTATTTTTTCCATTCTGTTGTGAAGTGCGGAGGCGCAAACCGGTGCACCTCTGTTTGAGGATCTACCTTGATTAGGTCGTTGGGAAAGGGTTTGATGTGTGATCCCAACATTATTTAAAAAAAGCTTCATTTTCATGCAGTGGGTCTCGGGATCCAACCATATCCAACGTATTGTCACTTATCTATCCTAACTGCTGAATTTGTACAGTTTTATCAAATATTACACAATCATTTTGCATATATTAGTTATTCTATAATAAATCGCATTTATCTTTTCATATTATAAATTTCAGAATACCCTAAACGACTCAGTTATTCTTATTGGAGCATATCGTATTCACTTAGATGTAAAATCTTTAATAATCGCTTCAATGAATCCAGTTTCAGGAGGAACAAGTAAAACAAGCATATACATTCCACAGTCAATAATGTAAAAATAAAAATACTAATGATGTAAATACTACTTAATTCCTGTTCTAACATATAAGCATTAAAATGCTAATACAATTTATTTTAAACCATATTCTATAAAGCAAAAGTTATGCGCAATATACACATTATATATATATATATATATATATATATATATATGTTCCCGCTATTTACATAGTTAATATTTTTTTTTAAAGTAACCTATGCCTTGATCACATTGTAAAGCATACAATTAACACAAATAAATTAAACGTCATATACATGAAAGACCATGAGTTCATTTCTGCTGTTGGCCAGAAGTTTCTCGAGAAGAGGAACCTTGTTGTTGTTGTTGTGAATTTATTTTATTCTGACGCTGTCGTACGCACATAATCAGTTGTTCAGCTGTCACTGGATACATGATACTTTCAATAATAGCTAATATATAGTAGAAAAGAAAAGAGAGAGTATTGTTAAATATTCTATCTATATTTATCCTCCATACCCTATACTTAACTGAGCCGTAAAAATCATAAGATAAAAGATGGTCCGGTGACTCAACTAAGGAATACGACCTTATCTGAGAAAAAACTTAGTATTTATATACAGCTGCTATTCAGAAAATGGAGCCACTAGATAACCAATCAGATGGACATAAATCAAGGTCTGAAACGAAAATATTTCTAATCCAGTGGTGAATGACCTTGAGCGATGATTTCCATTCTTGTCTCATAGATTTATAACTGTTGACCTTGGAGAAGAAATTCTTCTTGTTTTCGAAGACCTATAAATTAGCTCTAATAATACGCTATAGATGAAATATTATGAGCTTTTACATTAGGCAACATATCATATAACTTTGATGTACAAATACTACACGTGCGTACGAGAAACAAAACAACTACACTAATACATCGACACAAGTCGCCGAACTTTAAGTACTAGCTATTTTACAACTATAGTGGTCTCATTATTTTGAGATTTCATTTGTCATTATTGATGTTGACAATATTATTGTATTGTTCACACCTAATCAATGAATGCCCATAATTATTATTATATTATTACTTTTCCCTTGGGTTCCTAGTGAAACATACGGCTTCAGTAACACGCCTCCATTCCACTCTGTCCTCTGAAATCTTTTAGACCTGGCACCACGACTGCCCACAAGCTCTCATTTCTTCCTTACATGATCTCTATGTCACCCTCACCTCGAACGCCCAACTCGCCGTTTCCCATCCGGGTCCCACTCGATGGCCTGCTGCATGATGTCCCGAATGGTCTTCTCAGTGCATGCCCAATCCATCTACACTTCTGCATATTTGTTGCGTAATAGGTCCTTGGTTGATCCGTTCCCAGAATTCCATGTTGCTTATTCTTTCTAGCTATCCGATCGAATGCCCATAAACAGAGATAATGTTTACGTTTACCACCCGATGCGTAGTTCAAACATGTCTCCGAGTATATACCAACTGGATTCTACGAAGAAAAGGGAACTTGAAATGTTTGACCGATTCATATCACTTGATGATAACTGAATGATACTGTACGTGACCCATGTGAAAACTGCAACATATTCTCATCAGCATTCTTACTCCATTTTTGAACTGTGTATGTAACTGTTTATCACTGAATCTAGTAAGTTACTTCGGCTTAAACAAATCTTGATCTGATTACCACTTTTCGCATTACATATTGTTTATATTAAGATGCTTTATATGATATTCCCTTACTTTGCTGTTGGACGTTAGCGATCAATAGACAAAAACCGTGAGACTAAGTTACATACTTCGCAGGACTTATGAAGAATGAATGTTTGCAACCATGAAAAAACTGGTGTTCGATAGACAATTCAAATCTGCCTTACCCAATGCTGAATATAGAAAATACTAACAAGTTACCCAGGCCATGACTGTCGAGTGTCAACAGTTTACCCTTCCTACCGATTAACTACTCTTAGCATCGGTTACTAATAAGCGATCTTTTCATGTACATGCGATTATGCAGTTTAAAAATATCACTGAGAAAAGTAACTCTGTTATCATACCTCAATGTCATAAGAGACAAAAAGACAATCTTATATACATTAGTAGGATTTCATCGAACGTCAATATGACCTTTAGTTGACACTTCACTAACTGTAAATTAGTTGAATAATTAACAATTATATCATATTCTGAGTTTCATTTAATAAACATATACAAAAGCTTACAAAAATTTCATTATCACTTATTTATAACAATACTTACCAACTCCTGATTTATGATAATTCGGTTCTGTTTTATCGGTACGCACACGTAAAACTTTCCAACCAACGCCTGGAATACATACACATTCCACAATTTTCCCATCGAGTACCTTATCACGTGAACTGACATGTGCAAGCTTAGCAGATGGTACTGTGAGACCACCGAGAAAGAGATGACCAACATAACCAGGGATTTCACTGAAATCGTATAAAGAATTGAATAAACTTTTAGAAGTAGGGGAAGGCGAACACAAAATATACTGATTTCTGAAGATATGATTTGTGCAAGATTATTCTATGTCAAACTTACTGGATGACCGTTTTTGCAAAAACCTACAACCTGGTACTTTGATATTATTAATGATGGATAGTGGCTATTGGTGGGATCCAGGACATGTGTTTCGTCTTGTTTGGAAATTGTCAGCTGAATGTACCTGCCTTCCAGCAAGTGATGTTGCTCCCACCACGACTAATCTTTTTAAGCACCATTAGTGTCAAAATTAAAAATATCGAAGCATCCGCATAGGAGCCCATATGTCCCTGGTAGCATATCAGTTGGGTCCAATTAACGATGGAGATTTGCAAGCCACAACATGAACTCTCATACTCTATTTGTATCAGTCAAATACAACATGTAGTATGATAATAAAATCGATCCAGTCTCCAAACAAGTAGTAAGCATAATCAGTTCACTTCCCAAGTATTATGTTCAGTGGCTGGATCGCAGGTACATGACAAGCACTACTACGCTGAAACAGTGGCCGTATATAAGTTTTGACAGGCCATGATACTCATCGTTGCCACCAATAGCCATGATGCTTGCGAGCGTGACAATGGCACATCTTTTTAGTGTAACCAGATCGAATTTTTACCTCTTCCAAACAACTGCAATGCGAGTCTGTCTCTGTAGAATAAAAACAATAGTTCTTATTTCGCAATTTAGGCCGTGGAAGATAACTCACATCTTTTTAATATCCGATCTTATAGATATAAGCAATAAACTGCGTTCCAAACGTCATCCAGTAAGTAATACTATTTCACTAAGTGATATATAATAAAGGAACTAAGATCGAATTATAATGTTACTGCACCCACTCTTATATAAACGGAATTAACGACATTATTATCAAGAGATTGATCACTGAACTTTCTCAAGTAGAGGCTAGTTTCAAAAATAGTATTAAAGTATTTCGTCTGGTAGCATTTTTACTAGTGACAATTCGGCAGTCATCAGAGTCAAACCGATACCGCATAAGTTGGTTGGTAAACAAGGAAATCGAAGTACCTAAAAAAAAGTACGATAAAGCAGTAGGTCAATATCTGCTAGATGCTACCCTGCAAACATCTACTGATGCAATCGCTCCAGAAAGTTAAATCATAGTTCGGATTTTTATATTCTTCATCATGAGGACCATATTTTTAAACTCACCCAACTTTTCGCTGGAATTCTATTTTACACCTGAAATCAATAGTGTTCATATTCGGTGGTTTCCATTTGAGAGTTTGAGGACATGTCCCAAGAACATAAAAATCTTCAGGGCCACAAGGTTGAAAAATGAGACCATCAGTTGCATGATCCAAACTTTGAAAAAAAGCAGGTTTGAGTAGCTGAAAATGTAAACAATGGGAAAAAGGATAAAGCTTAGGAACTCAAACAGGTAGGCAGTGATTGTTTGTCCAAAAATAGTACAACTACAAGTTGAAGAATTATGGATTAAATTATTGGTTAGAAGTTAGGTATAGAGCTTTATCAGTTTAGTTGCATAAGAAATAAACACATCACTGTACTTATGTACAGTAACCTGTTCAGAAAATCAAAGGGACACTGTAATGCCTAGCACACTTGTACATTGATCTTAACAAAAACAAGAAATATATAAATGAATTCAATACTTATACAGAACATGACGAAATCTAAATGAAATAGGTTAAATAGCAGTATGTCATGTTGAACTAACAGAAAACTGAGGATATTTCTAAGTGAACTTTGATCTTCAAGTGAGTGTTTAGCTACTCCATAAATAAACACCACAATTTTATTATCAAGATTAATACGATATCTTCGGATACTTTATGTCTTCATTCAGTCGAAGGATCGTATGTGATCGATTGAACATAACAAACAGAGTATAACCACATACCACAGAAGAGGTGGCAACCGTTCAATAAACATCATGGCAATGGCTAATAATGATGTTACGTATCAGAGAGGTAGCATGCATCTACGATCACAAATTTTGACATTTCTGCCTACTATTAGTAAGATTTTCCTCATACCGTTTAAGGCATAGTTACAAAGCACTAAGCAAGCTGTTTGTAAATGTAATTTTCTCAAATGACCATAGAGGCGGCTGTTCGAAATGAAATGGAAAACGGCGTTGAGAAGAAGAAAAAGTAGGAGATGGATGATAACCGAACGCTGTTAAAAACAGATTTGTTAGCTGGCCTCATTATATCTTATTTCCTTCTGAATAAATTACTAAAATTCAGACATTAGTGACGGTTTCATAGAGTTAGAGATATATATAAAAAAATGATTGCGGTTAGTAAAAACAAAGAAATACTAGGTGGTTTTACCTCTTCAGTATCTTGCAGTGCACGAAATGTTTTCCGTCGAACTGAAAAAGATTGTATACTGAAGTCAACGAATCCTAAATGGCCACCAGTATTTCTCGGCCATATCACTTGCTTATCAATTGTAGAATAACGTTCAAAAAATGGAAGCCGACCGATAGGTTTGTTATTCAAAGTCACCATATCATAAATTAGGAACCTGGGAATTCCAGATACTTCTGAGGTGGATATATTAGGAGGTTTGGATTGATCATGACAAAGAATTAGCTCCCCATCTAAAAGTGTATCAACCAAGTGACCCTCAGGATGATTTACAAAATCTGAACAACCAGAAGTAGGAGCAGATTTTTCGTTCTTACGAACCCATGGCACAGTTGGGAAGTGCAAAACATTCGGTTTATAAACAAAATTCCCACGATCAATAAGATATACACGACCCGGACCCATTATAAGTAGCAGATAGCGAGTACCGTCTGCCTTGTACGTTACACAGTAATCGCAGTTGACTAAAGCTGCTACATTTCTTTGTGTTATAGAGACTGGTTGGCTACCTCTAAAGCGTAAAGGTCTTCTAGATGGTTTTGAAGCTTTAGCGCAATGATTTACTTCTTCTGAATCTTTACCTTCTTGTTCATTCTCAGAAGCTGAGTCTGTAGCAGGGAATAGCTGACCTTCCAAATACACGAAACCACCAATCTTGCATAATCTTTCTGCTAAATCACGTGCTTCGTGAGCTTCTTGACTATCTTGATCCAAAATAGCAACTTTAGAGACACCTTCCATAAGTTCTGGGTTTCCTGGGGGTGGTGGAGGAAATTTTCTACTCGATATAACAGAGATATTTGTGATTTCATCCGTATGATTACTTAAGCGTGATATTTTTGATGATGATGCAGTCTCTTGATTGGCATCTGTCTCGTCATTTTTCCGTTTAAATGATGTATGTGAATTGGTGTGTTCATCTTCTAAAAATGAATTGCAAATATATGTTTAAAGTATGCATAACAAAGGGTTCTGTTGAAGATTATGGGGAAAAAACGTATAGAACTGGCCAGCTGTTGGTCAGTTATGCAGGTTTTGGACTATGTAAATGTAAAATCCAAGTAACCAAGTTAAGTGAAACAAGATGTGAATAACGTTAGTCTACCGAAACTATCTGTCACCTTTGCTTAGTTTATCGTTTGTGATAACGTTGTATTTGTACCCAGAAAGAATGAGACCAATAGCTAATCAATTACGAATGTCCTTCACGAGTCTGTGTTCCCATTCATTGACATTTTTTGTTCATCTTTTATGATAACTTGTTAAGTATACGGATAGGAATAATTGATCATTTTCCTTTGCCATTATTATTTAGTTGCCAGCGTAGCTATTCACTAAAAGTACCTACCTACTGTAATGAATCTATAGACTTAAACATACCCAAATAACCACTGAATTTCCAAACAGTGGTAACGAACAGAAAATCCAAAAAAGAGTGGCTACATTTTACCGATCACATCCTTAGTCCTAAGCAACTTTATTAAACCTTTGACACAATAATATGAAATTAAGTTAATAATTTTTAACAATAGCGTATACATTGTGTTCATCGAAGCATATCGTCGCAATACTTCACAAGTCGAAGATTGTTATCATGCCAAACAAAGTGACTTAATATAGTGAGCTTTACGTTCATCGTAGAAATGATTATCAATCAGTGGGTTACGGGTTCGAACCCCGCCCCACCTACCGAGATCTGGATAGCCTATTAGTATTATTAACCTTCACACGATGTGTGGCGCACTATATACTGAATGAATGTGCACAAGGTTGTTGAATGCATTCTGATTTCGATGCGTTTCCCAGTACATCTTAATCAGAATTCTTACCATTTCTAAAGCCTTACCCTAAGGATTTTTTCCAACTGCTTAGCAAATCCATCCAAATCAACATAGGACCAGGCATTACTGCGTAACGGTCCAAGTTGCCACACCTCATATCACTACATCAGTAGAAAGGCAGTGAAGTGGAAGATGAAGAAAAGAAAACTCAGTCAAAAGAAATATAAAGTACTAAAAGAGAGAAAGGAAGAATGAGAAAATGGTGAGATTCGGCATAGTGTCAAGATGAAGATAAAGTGTGTATACATCTGCGCCACTGACTTCGGTTCTGAGCCATATCGCCTACAGTCTCTAACCACTGGTTTCTCTTGTCTCGTGGATCTCAGCGGGTTAGTCTATCTCCCCACATTGCTCAAACCAACAGTCAAAGACTTTATGCATTGATGCCATGCTTTAGTCTGGCTGCATCGAGCCCTTTTCTAGCCTGAACTTACTTCGGCCAAAATTGTATGACGAGGCAGACGGCGAATAGGCATACGTAACACGTCCTAACCATCTCAGACGATGAAGGTTCACAACCTCGTTAACTTCTTCTTAGCTTAGCAAATGAACAACTTTTAGTTTACCTAACGCCCAAATAATACAGTTTTGCTAGAAGAGAAAGCTGGTAAAATAGTATCCCAGATGTAAGGCAGTATTTTACATAAACCTGGCACTTGCTACATAGAAAATAACAGTTCAAGAGTAATCAAGAGCGTTAGTTTAGTCGACTATAAGGATATGAAGTCTGATGGATTCTTAGCACAAGGGTGTGGGACACCGCTTTTCGGTGCGCTTTATCTATGGCACCTAAAGGTGGAACTACATGGCAGTGGACTGTTATTATTCAGTAAGACATGTTAGTTTTCAGAAGTGAAAATAGTCAGTGCCTCAGAAATAACTGAGGACCAGTAGCTCCAAAGCACTTATCAAGCGATGAAACCTCAAAGAAGAACACTTAAGAAAAGGCAAAACTGTCAACCCTAGGTATGGACCAACACGACGTGAGCTTATGAATTCACTACTTATTGTTCTGTTGTGCGTCATGAAACTGTAGGCTATATGGATGCAATCAATATTATAAGATAAGTCGGTGATGGCTGCACATAATGTTTTGAAAATTGACAACAGTGATTTAAATCTTTTGCTAATTGTAAACTTTATGCAAGCTTGAGTATTAGATACCGAATAACTACAATGCAAAGTCAAACAGTCCTAATTTCGTTACGAAAATCACTTTATTTATTCAACAGTTCACTTCACATGCTTAAACTACACAACTGCTTCCGCATCATCACTTACTCTGAACAAATTTTCAAGTTTTCACATTCCTTCACCAACTTGAACCATGCACAATTTTGGATTGCATTTACTACCTGATTCGACTAAAGTCGAAAATGTGTAAATTTCAGACCGTTTGTATAGCTAGCAAGTATAAATATCCCACCGATAGTTGCCACAAGTATTAAACAACAACATAACGTACAAGAACACAAGCTTACAAAGGTTGGATGCTTATTAGTCAGTTGCTACAAAACATTATCAAATAGTCTGACAGATAGACAAGATCAATACAGAACCTCGTATACAAGTGGATCGGTTCAAGTTGACACATTTCACAATAGTACACAAAGGATAGGTGGATAGAAAAGGTATAATATCAAAGTTGAGAGAACAACTAATTTGAAGATGGTGTTTAGCGCAGATATTTAAGCCATAAAAGACGTCAAGGAGTGAATACATTTGAGTTATTGTAACCGGTTTTCAGCCATATCATCCAAAGTCCTCAAGAATTGATTCCTATAGTCTCCAGCTTAAGCAGTCTACATCTCCCCACACGGCTCAGACCAACAATCAGGGATTTCATCGAATGGTGTCAGATCTCGGTCTGGCCACCTTGAACCCTCTTCAAACAATCCAACTTCCCCCAGAATGGCACATCGAGGTAAGCGGTGGCTCGGCTTGTGCAGTACATGCCCAAGCCATCTCAGTCGATGACGGTTCATAACCACATCAATCGGCTTGCAATTCTTGCCTAGTACTCTCCGTCTGACTTCGATATTGCTCACACGGTGACTCCACCGTACGTAAGCAATGCTACGAAAACACATGTGATCAACTTTCAACGGCCATGTCTCACAGCTGCATAAAAAGACGGAATGGGCTGGAGTGCATTATACCCGTCCTTTGATAGATATTCAAATACCTCGCAAGTCGGTGCCAAAGGCGACACAAGTTGGCAAATGCCAGACAGGTATTCTGTATTTGAGCTGAGATTTCGTCAGAAACCAGCCCGTCCGGAATGATGCAACTCCCCAAGTACGTGAAGTGATCAACACATTCCACCACTTCACTTCCTATCACTAAACTGAGAGTAATTGCAGCAGACCAGTCCTGGAGCATCATCTTACATATGACAGATATAAGCGAAACTCATGCCAAATATGCTCAAATTTCTGTTCGACGCGTTCAAAAGACGTTGCATTGCATTAGCACCTTCACCCAGTAAGACAATCCGTCTGCATACTCCAAGTGAACTTGATGACCTTCAGGGGGTAGATCAATCTGTGTGAACTCAGACGTACCAAAGGTCATACCCATAAGTACGTCTACAAGGAAGTTAAGTAGCAATGGCGACAGTTGACATCCCTAGGGGACGCCACTGATTTTCGTCATTTCTGATGACAACTCTCCACAAGCCTTTATGCGGATGTGTGAGTTCGAGTAGAGAGCTATAATAAGCATTATATACTTAGTCGGCACTCTCTTCACAGTCAGACACTGTTACATTTCACGGTCGACAGAGTCAAGTTCCACCTTCAGGTCAAGAAATAGGGCAAGTGTCGTCTACCAGGAAGTATACCTGTGTTCTAGAAACTGTCGACACGTGAAGATCTCATCAATGCACCCTCGTCCAGGTTTGAAGATTGCCTGCTTTTCTCTAGTTTGTTGTACTCAAACTCCAGTTAGGAATTGGATAACTATGGACCTAGGAATCTTAGACACAGTGTTAGTGAAACTGATCCTCTAATATTTGTCACAAGAAGATTTCTCTCCTTTTTTATAGACTGGAATGATGAGTGGAGTTGACCAGTCTGACGAGTTTGCTCTGATTCATATGAGCTAACTAGTACCTCAGTTACTGTACTTAGTACTTCCTACCTCCATCCTGCCAAACACTAGTTCCTGCTGCTTTGCTTTGTTTCAGGCTTGATACAACTTTCTCGACTTCAATGAGTTGATATCTACGTCCCATTCAGGTTCAGGTTGAATCTTGGGCAACTGAAGAGTTACTGGTGGCCAGTTGAACTCTGTTTCAAAGTGTTCCGACCAACGTTCTAGCCGCCTGTCCTGGGAGGTTATCAGCGTCCCATCCTTTCCCGTATTGGTTTCACTACCGTTTTCTTCTTCGTTGTGTGCCTAATAAGCCTATATAGTTGCCGGGTGTTATCCCACGCTGATGCTTTTCCCACCTCTCTCGCTTTGGCAACCGACCACTGACCGTGATCATTGTGAAGACTCTTGGACAATTTACGTTTAAGTTACTTTCGCGCCTCATCGTTGTCAGAGCCAGTTGGAATCAGTCTTTTCGCATTAATCAGTTTGGATGAGGTTGACGAAATCCAATGACGTTTGTTAACTTTTGGGTGTAGGTTACCAATTTTCTTTACCGCTGTTTATACAGAGGACTTAATATCACGCCAGGCTATTTAAAGACAAGGATTGCTGTCACATTCAGACGAATGCTTAGCTAACTCCCCCTAAATACATACTTGATTACGCAAATTACTCTTGATTGTTTTTTAGGCTGTATTCCGTGAACTTAGACTGTATATCAGAAAAAAATAACCACATAAAAATGGGAAATGCGAATCCATGTTAAACAAACTTTCGACACCACTGCTCTGTTGAGTATGACCTACAAGTAAAGTTCCATATGCATTTCCATCTTGCAATAATTTTAGTGAAACCATTTCAGTGTCATAATTTGTTGACATCTTTACAAGCTTTGGTTACACAAAGGTTGATCGATTGTTGCCACTACATTTGTGTTTTCTGTAGATGTTCGAAACATTAAAGCAGTGAGATGTAACTGAAAATCCTCAGTACTTTCTAAAACCATCATCATTATCCATGTCTTGTCTCACATACAGATTATGAATATCTTGTTAATTTACTTAATGCTAAACCAGATTATGAGCTGTTCAAGATATTCATGTACTAACCCGAAGATAATGTTCGTTATCTGAGATGTTTTTAATTCATTAAATTCCAGTAAAATTTCAAACATTTCACTTTACCTAAACACCATTCCGGTAAAGAAGGTGCTTGTGGACAATCCTCAATACATCCATAACGAGTGAAAAGATCCTCTAAATAATCTGTTTTGTAAATTCCAGGAGGTCTGGCATCTGAAAATATCTGAACTGCTATATCTACGCTAAAAGAGTACAATAAAATGGTAGGACGATTAAACATACCCGTAATTCAGCTCTTCAACAAGATACGCAACAATCATGAATCCAGTTCTGTTAAATCCATGAGTGCAATGAACACCTTAATAAAAATATGCTTTTTTACATAAAATAAACAAACCTATTTTTTGATTTCCAGGATTACTGTCCAGAAATTGATTAACAATTTGAATGAAAAGATTCACTTGTTCTGGTGTTGGTCTTTCCTCGTTTCCTTTACATTCTATTTTCAAATATTTACAATTATTTTCGGTTACTTCTCGCCGATTATAAAATCTGCGAGATTTTGTCAAGTCAATAATGAGACCAAGTTTATACTACAAACAAAAGGTTGGCCTTATCAATAGATCTTACAGGTTCTGCTGTTTTGAATGTATCTTCAACGTGAAATACATTCTCCGGATCTATGAAGTGATCAAACTTATTATCCAATGGAGTCTTGAATGGAATAAAGATATCCAATATCATGTCGCCCATACGTGGGCATTTCAACCACCTTGGAGGGAGCATGGGCATTCCTCTATCATTCATTCTGAAAAGCTAACAAAAACATCTGTAAAGTACTCAAATTTTTAAATACAGAAAGATGGATACATGGTGAAACGATCACCTAATTAAATCGTTTTATCTTAATTGTCATTCGAGAGTGAATTCGATTTCTAAACACTTCTCAAGACTTCCACTTTGATACTACATTACACTTGTATTTTATTTGTAAATGAGAAAACGTATTACACTTAGGCACAATAAACGCTGATCGCTTTTTTAAACCACAATACGGAGAGATTTTTTATATCGTCTTCATTAAAACATAAATCTGAACCCCTGCACAAATAATCATATAAGATGAGCTGTTTTAGGCCTGAAACAAACCAGATTAGCAGGAACTAACAGTTTGATAAAGGTCGTTAGGACAGAGAACAAGGATTACCAGTCAGACTGTGGTACTAGGTAGGAAGCGAATGTGGTCCCATCACACCCGTTTAAAACAATCCATTAAGTTTATAGTGAAGCCGACAACTCATATTGCTGCAACAAGGAAGTCAACCTAACTGACTAAGACACATGCATACTTACCTACACACGACAACCTTCCCATTCCTCTACTTGAAAGTAGTACTAGACCCTGAGTGTCGACAATTTTTCAGAGTCACTGTGAACGGAGTGCCGAGGAGCTATAGTAGGCCACTCAAGTTTGTTCATCTGGATTCAACCCTAAAATTGTATAGAAATTAGCTACTTGACGTTAACGTGTTTTGTACGGATATCGACTGTCACTACTTACCTCCATCATTAACATACTAACAGAAGTCATTCTATTCACCTTCCTGTTTTTTCACGAACAATTTCTATGTAGAATACATTTACACAGCTTTATATATATAAGTTAAAATCTAATATGTAGTATAGGACCGAAGTCTCCAAAATACCTTCGTATAGTCGAAGGTGCGCACAACCAGCTCTTCTTAGTAAATTGCTTGTCTGGCCATAAGTTTGAGCTCTTCGCCTGACTTTACGGAAAAGAACCCCACAGTTCACCTGCTAGGTAAAAACGCTAAGATGCTAATATTCCTGGACACATTGAGTGGCGGTTTGAGCATATTTGGAATGCGTTGCTCACCAACAAAGTGCGAACTGCTGCTCCAGAACTGAGACTTGCTGACGTATCGCTTAATAATAAAAAGCGAATGGGTTGAGAGCGTTGACCACTTCACTTACCTGGGACGTCGGATCAGTCATGGTATGTCACTGACCAACGAAATCTCCATACGGATAAAAAAGTGCTCGATTGGCTCTCACCAACTCACAACACTGAGGACGCCGTTATGATATCCGATCGCTTATCAAGGGTCAAGCATGATCCACGGCAGTTTTCTCCGTTCCGCCACATGGCTAATGGAAGGTAGAAATGAAAAGGCTTCAGCTGTTCGAATACCGTTGCCTTCATATCATAGGCCACGTCTTAGTGTCACCATGACAGTAGCGCAGAAGTCAGACCAAGTTTTAAGCAGAAGAGATAAGTCAGCTGATGGCGTTGCGAACCGCCGACTCAGGTGTCTGTGACGCGTTTCGTATACCAAGTCACCTTCTGCCTCATCAAACATCGGTCGCTGAGGAAGTTGCAAACTGGAAAGTGTTTAAGACGACCAGACTAAAACATGGCAACACTCCACAAACTCTTTGACTGTTGGTCTGAGCGGTGTACCGAAGTGTGGAATTTCAGGTCGGAGTCCATGTGACAACAGAAACCAAGCGTTGAAGACTCCAAGTAACAGGGCTCAGAATCGATTTCAGTAGCTCAGACGCATCCACACATTATCTTCATCTTAATCACTAAGTCGAATTTTACTGTTTCATTCCTCCTTCTTCCCAATCCACGACCTTCTACAACTTTCGATTGCTTTGTGTCTTATTTATTTATCTTCAACTTCAGTGCAATCTTGCTTGGTGTGCTGAAATGACAGCTGGAAGCTTGTTGGGATTGTCTGTCCATCGGTTACTTGTCGTAGCCCAACCGATGGCATTTCGGATATTTCATGAGGACTGGTTACAGAATAGATGTCAGCAGTTGCTTAATGCAGATATTTCAGCGTCGTTTTCAACTATTTTACGTGAACATAATAAGTGTTCTAGATTCCAGCTACAATATTTCATTTTTCTCCATCCGGCTTTGGAACTTCTGAATTCATATCGCACAGAAACGTGGGGGAAAAAACTGGCTAAGTATTCAGAAGATTCTGTACTAAAAATTGGTTAACCTAGGGCGAACTCTAGGCTTACTAACATTGGTTCAAAAATTTGAAAGAACTAGTCCCTTTAATAAATTTTGATAACGTTATTAGAAAACGAAAACTATCTGAAGAATGTGATGTATTTGCGCCATACATTTCGAACAATCTGATCACACATTTACTTGGCAGGTCAATTTATGCGTGAAAATGGAAACAACTAAAGGTCAAATATGAAAAGGCTGTGACACTAGTCTTGATAATATAATCAGATTACCCAGGTAACTTAAGTGAAACAATAAACTGTTTTTGTACATACAACGGGGGCTCAAGTTTACGAATGACTGACGCTCCGACAACTTTTAGTGTACACCCCTGACTGTCCCCATCTCTTAAGTGCTGTTTTCGTAGTAACCTTATAATTCATCACATGTAAATTGACCTGACAAGTAAATGTGTGATCAGATTGTTCGAAATGTATGGCACAAACATATAACATTTTTCAGGTAATCTTCGTCCTTCAATAACATTATCAACATTGGTTCATTGAAGAGTTTACATCCGAAAAACGCTGGATAAAAAGGTTCACAAACATATGCATTAGCCCTGCATTGTACCTATGTGCTTACTCCGTTTATAGCCCTAGGTTCATCCAGTTGGTCATGAAAACTGTTAACTGAGGAGAGCAATTATTTTCTCTCTTCCTACGACATACCAGTGAAATAAGTAGGCAAAAATGATGTTTAACTCTTCGTCTCTACTAACTCCTATCATGAATGTAGCTTGAATAACTTCAGTAACACATTTGCCCACTAGATATGCTAGTTTATTCGTCCAGCGTGCAAACAAGTCCCAAAATCATATACCTAAGATGATAGATAGCGACCTGGTAAATGATAGTTTAATGGAATCAAACCAGTTTCTAGCTATGAGGGATAAAACCATATGCATCACTTCAAAAACGAGCCATATATTCTGCATGCAAGTAGTCTGTTGCGCTGGATGATCAAATCAGCTATTTACCCTACGAAATTGGTAGCAGAGTAGCTTGCGAAATAAATCTCAGTCAACATTTACGTGGAGCCCAAGAGGGCGATGTTGGGTCATTTACTACAGAAAACATTGAGCCAAATGTAGGATATGGTGGCTGGTTCTGAAACATCTTCCTTACATCTGGCCCGATGTTCTTAGGATCTGCAATTGGTCCCACGCTAAGCACATTTGGCTCTACGTCGGCTCCAATGAATACATAATTGCCTCTACAGCCAGCATCAAGTTTGGGACCATTTTGTAAACTTTAGACATAATCCTAAACACACTTCACGTGCGCTTACGAACTAGAAGGAAACCCCCAAAATTTTCGTTGGGAACGTCAGGACATTTGACCCAGTCAACGATCTTGTCGGGCAAAACAGGGTGACGTTGGGTGCAGTGTAGGGCTAGAATCTGATATGGCCTTAATAAAGTGCACATACGGTAAACGTTGGGTGAATGGAGCTGGTTTCAGGGTCAAAAATCAGTAACTGACAGTATCCTAGTAGGATTATCTCAAAATATCGTCACTTACTGTTATCATATTCCCTAAAATTAATGTCCAACAATGTTTTCACAAATGCCTTGTAAATATTCACATTTAATTAAGTACATTCTATCAAACTTCATCCTACTGACAAAAGCATGTATCCACTTTAAAAAAACAGCTATAACTACATCCCCGAAAGAAATCTAAAAAGGTGTAATATAACAGTACCCACTCTTATGACAGACGGCTTCAGATGTCTACCGTCTTATTTTGTTGGACGTTCAAAAAGCAAACAAACAGCACCCAACAATTATTGTTCATGAATAAACATGTTTTTTATATTTTGCATAATGCATAATGACAATTTGATTATTGAATTGTCTTCGGTGACAAATGACAAAGACTGCATGAACTTACAGTGACTAGCTAGAAATAATCAGTATGAACAACAAATCAGCTAACCAATGGCGCAAACACAAATTGCTACATGTTCTATTTGGCAGTATATATCTTGGTGTTGAATAAAAATCTTAATATTCTGCTGAATTAGCTGTAGCATACACGGTGAAGGATTCCGAAAAATTTTGTTTCGATTCTCTATACACGCTGATTGTATTAAAACTTACCCATAAAATGAAACCTGACTCGGAGCTCAACTTCTTTCATGGCTTTCGTAAAAACTGTGGCCCGGATGTTTACTATATATATATACGTTTGTACGGCTTTTGAAATCTTATTGCCAATTGCTGCAAAAATCAAATGCTCGGAGTGATGGAATCCAGTTCTGTCATTCCCAGTGAAGGTCGGAAACCGGGTAAGTTAACTCTGTTCCTTTACCTGGGACGTTATAGATCATAAGACACTTCGGAAAACGAACTCCTACCCCACAGAAGTACTATCGTATAACTAGGTAAGTGCACGAAGAGATGCTTGAGTTGCCTTAATTCTGTGCCTAGGGAAGCAACTTTTTCCGTTCTGGAGGCATTTAATCGCGTTAAAGAACGTAACAGGCAGGGAAATCCTTCAAATCTATCCCCAGAAGCAGGCATGCAGGGTGACTTATCAGTTGTGATTAATTAATCATATTCTGTTCTATCTCTTAACTCTCTTATAGATTCAAGTAACTCAAATGTCAGTTAGTATATTCCAAAATCCATAAAATTTACCATCAAATGCTAGTATGTATGTCAGAAATGCACGGGCGGAGTCTATTTTTCTGAACAAGTACTTCATGGATTAATGTAAAGGGAGAAAATGAGTAAAGGGTCCGGAGGAGACAT